CTCTCTCTCTCTCTCTCTTCTATCTCTATCTATCTCTCTCTCTTTATCTCTCTCTCTCTCTTCTCTCTTCTCTCTCTTCTCTCTCTCTCTCTCTCGCTTCTCTCTTCTCTCTTTCTCTCGCCTGTCTCCTCTCATCTCGCTCTCTCTCTCTCCTCTCTCTCTCTCTCTCTCTCTCTCTCTCTCTTCTCTCTTCTCTCTCTCTCTCACTCTCACTCTCCTCCTCTCCTCTCCTCTCTCTCCATCATCATCTCATCTCTCCTCTCTCTCTCTCTCTCTCTCCCTCTCTCTCTCTCTCATCTCTCACTCATCTCTCCTCCTCATCTCTCACTCTCTCTCAACCTCCTCTCTCCTCACATCCTCTCTCCTCTCTCTCTCTCTCTCTCTCTCTCTCTCTCTCTCTCTCTCTCATCTCTCTATCTCTCTCTCACTTCCCCCCCCCCCCCCTGCAGCCCCCCCGGCCTCTCTGCCGCGACGGCGCGGCCAGCGCGCCAAGGGCTTCCGCGCTCAGCGCCCGCGCCCCCCGCGTCTCGGCCCGAGCACCCCCCTGGCAGGCTGCCGCGAGCCCCGCCGGGCCGCGCGCCTGCAGCTCGGCCGCAAGCGCGCCCGGCGCTGCCAACCTCTCCGTCGCCTGCAGGGCGTGCTCAGCAGCTTCAGCCGACGCTGGAGCCTCTGCTGGCGCCCCAGCTCCTCCTCCTCCTCCTCCTCCTCCTCCTCCTCCTCCTCCTCCTCCTCTTCCTCGGCCGATGCCCTGCCCCTCCCCCCCCCCGTCCCGCTCCTCCTAGTCCGTGGGCCCGCCCGCAACTGCGTCGCCCCAGTCCTGGGGGTCGCAGCCGCCCGCTTCGTTCCAATCGGGGGCATCGCCCCCCCCCCCCCCCTCTCCGTCGCACGCCGCCGCGCCCTCCCCCCGCGGCACTTCTCCGTCATCTTCCGCCAGGTGCTCCCCGATCTTCTCCAATGCCTTGTCAATATTTTCTGTTTCGGACGCGGCCGAATCAGCCTTTGCATGCTGTTGTGGCGCCATCGCAGCCCCCCCTCCGCTACCTCTTCGCGAACGTCCGCAACTGCGGCGTTCACTTCCCTCCTCGCGTCGCGCTCTCTCCAGAATTTCGCCGCCCCCCTGCAAATGAACCGGTCTTGCGTCGAGCCGCCCAGTGCCGCGCGGAGCCCTGTCTTGACGCATCCGTCGGCAGCAGCATGGCGCAGATTCATGTCTTGCAGGACAGACGCCATGATGTCCACGCAAGTCTCGCGGTTCAGGGACGGGGCGCTGCCGCCGTCGCCCATTAGGCGGGTCAGCCCCATGGCCTCCTCGTCGGCGCACCGCGCCGTCACTGGCGCATGCAAATCAGCGTCGACTGTCTGCGCCACCGGCGTCGCGCCGCATCCACGAGGAATAAAGATGTACCCCCGCTGCCACAGGGTCCGCGCAACGTCCGGGCTCAAATGCGGCCTGTGGTCGTCCGCCATCATGATCCGCCACTGCCGCCCATCATCTTCTGGCCGCGACAGCGGCAGCTGACGCTCCAGGAAACACAGGACATCATCAAGGCGATGCGAACCATTTTCGCTCGTGGCCTGGCTGGCCCACTTGCCGCACCCGCGTCTGCGGATGTGTTCTTCCAACCGGCGGGTGATGATGTCGCCGCCCGCTTTGAACATGCACTCGAGATACGGCGGCCCCTCTTTGCCACGGCGCTCATGGTCGCTGAACGTGGTAAGATTGGCAGCCCAGAGCGCGCGGCAGTCAGCGCGCCCCTCCACCGACGGCACTTCGAGGCCCGCAAGTGCGAGCGAGGGCCTGTTCGAGCTGCCAGTCTCGCTGTGGTGGAACGGGCTCTGGCCCCAACTTTCGATGTGCGGATCGCACCCTTTCAAGGCTGCAGCTGCGGCCCTCGCGCGCGCGACATTCAGCCGCGCCACTTCGAGCCTGTCTCCCAGCATTTTGCGCGGCACCTGATACTTCCTGTTCTGCTTCCTCATGGAGAGGCCATGCTCCATGCGCCACTCAGAAAACCACCGCGACCTGAGCTGGACAGCCTCCACGGCAACTCCATTTTCCAGCCGCGCTCGGCAATGTTTGGCCAGTAATTCGTTTGCTTTCGCCTTTATCACGTACTGCGTGAACCGTGCCAATTTCTGCCGCAACTGCGGCGCTGTATCCTTTTTTACAGGCTTACCTAATCCACAGAATGTCGCAGGCTTGTCCGCCACTCGCGCAGCTCCTGCCGCAACCGCGCGATGCGCTTCGGCTCAGCTTTCGGACCCCGACCCCGAAACCGTCTCTGTATATTTCACGCGCTCCTCTAACGCGCTCCTCTACCGCCCTCCGAAGTCATGGCGTGCTCTCCTGCAACCACCTCGTTGTCCAAGAACGTCTGCAGCCATCTCGCGAGACTGCGCCTTTTCGCAGCTTCTTTCGAGCGCCAACATTTCGGCCAAACGAGCCGCTTCAGGGAAGCGAGAAGCACGTCGCATGGTGCACGATCACCTTCTTTCCACCCGCTACTGCGGAGGGCTTCCCAACACAGCTGCGCCATTTGCATTCTGGATCGGAATCTTCCGGGGATCAGAAGAATTTCTCTCTGGCCCTGCTTATTATTCTTCTTCTTCTCCCGCGGCGGCTCGAGCTCGGCAAGCGCGTTTCCGAATTTGCTCTTCTCGAACGGCTGGCGACAAGTCAACTGCGATAGCCAGCAAGACCCCTGGATCTCGCACTCCAGTGGACCAAGCGAGCGCGTCCAGAAGCTTGTCCGTAGGCCTCCTTGGCTCGCCTTCGCAGTCGTCTGCGCTTGCCCCCATCCAGAACCTCCCGCTGATCCTCCGGCATGGCGCCGCAACTGCGGTGCGCCGTCACCTCCTCGCACGATCTCTCATGGGGCGTCGCCATGAACTCTTGCATCCACTTCTCCTTCATCCTTCCAATTAGGTAGTCCCGAAGCACGCGGCGGATTTCCGCCCTCGTCGCTGCAAGCCGCCCCTTGCCGAACATCGCGCACATTGCGTCGATGGCGCAGTCGCCGCCCATGACTGCCCCGCGCAAGGCGACGCCCAACCGGTTGCAAAACGCGTCAACGCCAGCGCCTTCCGCCGCAACTGCGGTGTCCATCCGCGCAGCGGCCACGTAGCGGCGGCATCCTGCAAGAGGGCTCTCTTCTGCGATGGGCATGAGAAGGGCGGCCCCGTTCTCCAGCGGCGCCAGGGCCGTGCAAACGCCGTCCACGAAGCAAGGGCCGTCGCAGCGCTCCTGCCGCCACGGTGGCAAGACAGCGCCCACGATGTCCACGCGAGCCGCGCCTTCCCACATCCACGGCCTCACGCCGAAGCGCAAAGCAAATAATAGAAAACTGAGTACCCAACATAAAATGAGGTTCGCCGATTTGCCTGGCCAGCCGGAGGAGCTTGTCCAAGATGGCCGCTGCTCGGAGATCTCCTGCGCGCGCGCACTTGTCAATTGCAACTACTTCCACGTCCGCGGGCACTCCGACTCTGCAATCGCCCTCTGCAACAGACAGGGCCGCCGTTCTCATCTGAACCGGGGTCGCGGTCGGGGCCACAACTGCGGCCCCGCTGCTGGCCGAACTCGCCAGCGGCAAAAGCGCCGCAAGTTGCGCCGCTGCGGCGGCTAGGGCACTCGCAGGGTCCTCTGCCGCAACTGCGGCGTCCGCGCAGGGGCCTGCGCCGCCTCGGAAGCTATCTCTGCTGGGGCCGATCCTCCAGGGGCTGGCGGTGCCCCCGCAGCAGCCAGAATTGCAAGCTCTGCGGGCGGAGGCGGCGCTGCTGGCTGTGCCGCGGCGGGTTCCGCCGCTGGCGGCGGGGGCGGGGTTGCTGCAGGAGCTGCAACTGCGTCTCCAGGCGCTTGCGCTTGCGCCGCCGCCTCCACGGCAGGGGCCGCAACTGCGTCCCCAGGCGATGCTGGGGGTCGCCAGTCCGATGGCCGCAGACGGCGGTCATCGGTGTTCATGCGCTGCTGCCTTGGGCTGCAGCTCGCTGGAAATTGCTGTGTGAAAGGCGCTGCTGCCCTGAGCACTCCCACTCAGCACTTTCTTAAGAGGTGAGTCGAACGAATTAGATTGACACGCGTGTAGATTTACATGAATGGTTTGGATCCGACCATTGGCGATGACGAGTACGAGGATGGCAAGGACCAGACGGGCGAGGGTGACGAGGAGAACGAGGACGAGGAGAAGAAGGGGCCGATTGCAGAGGACAGCCGAGAGGACGCAAGTCCCCTCAGTGGTAAACCTCGTGCCGCAACCATGAGCAGGGCGCGGAAAGCGGTAGGCAAGACACACGGACCCTTGATTTTGCAGGGCCGACCTACTGGCATACCTGATTGTAAAGAGGAGTAGGAGGAAGAGCTGGACGAGGAGAAGGAAGGAGGAGGAGGAGGAGAAGCACGACATTGGGAGGCAAAGTGAGGGGGGGACCAGCTAAGGAGGGGAAACATCGACGTGGAATCGGCGACACGTCGCCGATCGACCTGCGATTGGCCCCCAGTAGCGCTGCACGTTCATGGGCGGGATAGTTCCACCGTCAGCGTTGCACGGGCGATTGGGGACCGATGCGTGCCCCCCTGAACGTATCCTGGGTGAGCCTTCGTGGGGGCCTCTGCGGACCTCCGCGGCCCTATCATAAACACGATGTCGACCAGACTTCGTCCAGATTTCGACAGCAACTCTTCATCCCTTTCATCGATATTTCGCTCAAGTGTGAAACACACCAAACAATACAAAATTTAGGGACCCTTTGAAGCTCCCACGAAAAACACACACACACACAACTTATTCCTCCCTAGCGCTGCCCCTGGAACGACGACGACGAGAGGGGAGGCAGGAGACGAACCGCAGGCTGCAGCTTCGAGCAAAACGTGAGGTTGGCGTGCGCTGTCCTGCGGCGCCGGCGCGCCCTAAACATGGCATTGGGGCCAAAGTCCCCGATGCCCAAACGTTCCTGTCATGGTGAAGCGTCGCTGAAAGACCGCACTGCAGATCCGGTTGTTGCTAGAAGTCCGCCGCCGCGCTTGCAGCGGTTGGCGCGTGTCGGGCCCCTTCGTCTTCTGTGAAGCAATAACAGACTGATCCACCATGGGATCGAACATCATTTAAGGATCCACATTTGAAAACCACGGTGGCAATGGCGGGCCCGATCATGACGGCGACGTCGAGGGTCATCACGATGAGGGCGACAGTCATGTCGATGACAACTGTGGCCGTGGCGGCGATGTCGACATCGACGACGGCGCGCGTGGACAACTCGAGTGATGATGGCGGCAACGATGGCAAGAGCGGAAAGCGGCGCTGACTGTAGGGACGTCGATAGCAGTGCCGATGAGTGTGATGTAACGATAGCGGTGATGTCAAAGGAAAACATGGACGATGGTGGCAAAAGATAAGATGATGGTGGTCATGATGACGATAATGATAGTGGCGATTGTGGCGGTGAAATGGCGATAGCGATGACAATCCGTCATGGTGCTGGCGATAATGATTCTGATATCGATGAGGCGGAAATGCAAAGATGATCGCAAAGATGGATGACGATCGCAAAAAATCATGACGATCTAGATGCCGCGATGGTGACGATGATGACGGCGATCAGAATCCCAGACGTCAGAAACACGTCCGATCGCCAGGGTCCACTCACGGGACGGCAAGGCCCAGGGGCCGGCTCCGGCTCCGTGGTACCTGAGCTTGCGCGCGTTCCGACTGGCCCTGCCGCGCTCGTTCGTGGAAGCGCGCTCACTTGAGCGCGAACGTCTGCTGATAGAGGCGCAGCCAGAGGCCGCAGCAGCGCCGAAGTAAACGAGCTCGGCGCCGAGATGCCCACGCGTGATACGCCAGTCGCCAGAGGCACGCTAAAGGAGAATCGCATCGCCTGTCGCCCAAGGGGCGCGGCCCCCGCGCTCCACGAAGCGGGCGCGCCCCATTCGCGCGCGTCGGCGAGCTTCGAGAACTGGCGCCTAGCTCCGGAACCAAGGGCGCCCACGTTGGCCCAGGAGCTCGGCGGGGAACCGCAGCCAGTTTCCCGCGGGCCCCCAGCGCGGCGCCTCCCCTTCGTGCCTGGCCAGCACGTGCTAGACGCACTCCTCGGTGGTCTGGTCGCCAGGGAGCATCGCAACTTCCGTCTGGATATCGCGGCCTGCCACGGCGCGCCGCCCGTCGCCGCCGCGCAGAAAACCGACGGGCCCCTCGCGCCAGCGGCGGCGGGATCGGGCGAGAATCCCCGCGCCATCTTCGCGAGATTGTGAATCTTCCTGGGGTCGAGCGCGCGGGGTGCCTCCCAAAACTAACCCCAGCGTGCAAGAGCGTCGCTCCTGTGCCCGATGCCGCCCAGGAGCTCGCGCACGTTCGGAACGGGGTCGGCGCCCCGGTCGAATCGCGCCCCCGCGCGACTCGAAAACGGGCCCCCTGCCCGCGCGCCCCGCTCTGCGCCAAAGGGGGCCGGCGCCCTCAGCGCGCCCCTAGTCCCGGGCAAAGACCTGCCTCTCGAGTTCGCGGGCACCATCGCGGAGCTCCGCTTTGCCAGCATCGCCCGAACGGACGACGGCCCCGCGAAACAATCAACCCGCCACCTTCGCGGGCGCGTCTCTCCCGCGCCTCGAGGCGCTGTTGAGGCCCACTGACGGGGCCGGCACGCTGACCCCCCCTTCGCGACAAGAGGTGCGTCGCGCATTCGTCGCCCGTGCGTCGCCCGCGCGTCGGCCGCCGAATGAGCCGGCCGTCCTCGCGAACGCGCGCGTTGCCCTCGCAGGGGGGCAGTTCGGCGAGCGCGTCGCCTGCGTGGCGGGCACCCCCGGGGCGAGTCACGCGAGCGTCGCTCGCTTCGCGTCCGCCGAGGAGGCCGGTCGCCTTCGGGGTAAAAGAAGTCGCCCACGCAGCGGCCCCCTTGGTGAGAAGGCGGCTGCTGGGCGACCTCGGCAGATTAGCGAATCCCTCTAACATTGCAAATTCCGCGACGCTGCTGCGCGCACTCTGGCGCTAGGCCAGCAAGCCCCCGCAGCCGCCGCCGCAGCCGCCGCGACCGCCGCCCGCGCCATGACTACCACCGCCACGGTCATCACAAACGGCTGCGACTACAACCACGTCCACCGCGACGGTTATGACCGCCGCCAGCGACCGCGACCACAGCCACGACCGCCGCGCTTCTCGCGACCACCACAACGACCGACACCAACACGGTGACCAACGTGACCACCACCGGCCCGCCCACCACCAGCAACGCGACCACCGCCAGCACGACCGAGGCGACAACCGCGACCGCGACCATGATCACCAACGTGACCACTGCAAAAGCACCCGCCCGCCCCGCCCACCCCCCCTCTCCCCCGCAATCCCCATCCCGGCCGCCCTTGCCGCCGCGCTCCTTGCGCCACTGCCCCCCCCCCTCCCCCCCTCCTCTTCTCGTCGTAAATCCTCCTCTCCCACCGCCGGCGGCGGTGCCTTTCGCAGATGGCGCGGGCCCCGCCCGCGGCCCCGCGCCGCGGCCGCGGCGGGGGCGGGGGCCGAAGGTGAGACATGAAAATGAAGAGGGGCGGGGGGCGGCGAGGGCGGAGGGGGGGGGGGGGAACAATGAGGAAACGGGGAGGATGGAGGAAGGCGAAGCAGGAGGGACGACGAGGAGGAAGGACAAAGGAGGAGGGGGGGCGACAAAAAAACGAAAAGGGAAGAAGCGGGGCGCGGCACCGCCCCCCCTAGCGCAATTGAGGACGCAGCCGCCGCCACCTGCGAACAGCGCAAGCGCGGCGGGCCGACGGCCGTTGCGCATTGCTTTTCGGAGGGAGGCTAAGAACGGGCAAGGGCGAGACTGTGTCGCGCATGCATCGCGCGCGCGTCGCGAGCGGGTCGGGGCGCGTCGCGCGCGCGCGTCGCAAGTGCGTCGCGCGCGCGCCGCTCGAGTCGTTTGCGCGTCGCTCGGAGGTCGCGCGCGAATCGCTCGAAGGGCGCCGCGGGCATCTGGCGGCGCGTGAACAGCGCGGCCCGCCGGCGAAACAACTCAGGAACGCGCGCGACAGTCGCAGAAACGCGCGAGACACGCGCGCGAGAACAACGACCGCGACAGGGCCAATAGCGCGCGGAAGCATCAATTTCAAGCGCGCGCCCCGTGACATTTTGAACGTCGACTCGCCGCTGCAGCAACTTGACGACGTCTCGCCCGCCAACGCATCGAGGGGGGAGGGGGGAAGGGGGAGGGGGCGGGCGGGGGAGGGGGCGGGCGGGGGAGGGGGCGGGCGGGCGAGGAGGGCGCGCGCGGGGACGGCGCAGCGGCGGCGGGGGCGACGGGAGGCAATCGAAGGGGGCGGCGGGGGCGTGGAGGGCGAAAAGGAAGTTTCAGGAGCGCGGAAGGACATCGGGGGGCGCGTAGGGAGCGGGGCAGGACAGCAGCTTGAGTCAAAACAACTAAATATAAATTCGCACACGGGACAAGACGCGCACCGCGCTCGACGATGGGGGGGGCGATGGGGGGGAAGGAAGAGGGGGGCCAGGGGGGCTGGCGCGGAACGACACGGGGGTGCTGGGCGCGATGCGGCGGGGCGAAGTGGCGCCGCGTCGCGCGGCGCGACGTCGCCCCCGCCATGGCGCGACGCGCGCATCCCCCGATCAACGCGAGGCGTCTTCGTCCTCAGTTACGGTTGGCGCTCTCCGAGAAGACGCACCAGGCAATCATTTTGTGCCGAATGGGAAGCATGGCGCGTCGGTGGGCCGTTGCGACAGCCAAACTGGCGGCGGTTGCACTGGCGCCGGAAACCTGCACGTCGCCAGCGAGCGCCACACTTCGCCCGCGCGCTCTGGGAGGCCGGGGTTCGGGGCAGAGATGCATGCAAACCAGGGCCGGCGCGCGGGCGACGCACGGGCGACGCGCAAAACGAAACTCACGAAAAAAAACAAACGTTTTACTAAGCCTCAACACGAGGCACCAGCCGTTTGGCCGTTTGGCGAGGCGCTGCGGGGGCGGCGCACGATTCGGCGCTACGCTGGCGGGCGCTCCTCGCCGACGCCCCTGGGCCCGCTGAAACTCAGGTCGGAGCCGCCGCCGTCGTCGCCGCCGCCGCCGCCGCCGCGGCCGGCCGACGCAGCGCGCGCGGCTGCCCGCTGTGGGTCGCGACGGAATCACCGACACTGCGCGCCTGATGCCACCGCCAGCGGCGGCAAATGCCGCGGGCGCGGCTGCGGCTTCGTCGCCGGCGCATCAGCGCGCGCCGTTGCCGGCGTGGCGGCTGCTGCTGGCGCAGCGAGTGCTGGTGCTGAGAACGATGGAGGCGTCGCCGCCGGCGTGGAGGCCTGCTGCTGCTGGCGCGGCCGGCGCTGGCGCAGCGGGCGCGTCGCTGCCGCGGCGGTCTTCGGGGGCGCCGACGCTGGCAACGCAGGCCGCGGATGGGGGCGAGGAGGCGCCGCGGCATGGGGGGGGGGCGCTGGAGAGGCCCGCGCCGACGCGGCGGAACGCGCGGTCGGCTGCCGCGCAGAAGCACGGGCCGCGCCAGAAGCACCGCCCTGGCGCGCAGCTGCTGGAGGCGGCGCCGTTGCCGCGGCAGCCGCTGCCGCCGCTGCTGGCGGCGCAGCTGGCGGCGCCGCCGCTGGCAACGCAGACCGCGGATATAGGGCGAGAAGGCGCCGCGGCATGCAGGGGCGCCGGCGAGGCCCGCGCCGACGCGACGAAACGCGCGGCTGGCTGCTGCGCAGTAGCGCGGGGCGCGCCAGGTGCACCGCCCCGGCGAGCTGCTGCCAGCAGCGCCGCCGTCGCCGCTGCTGCTGCGGCCGGCGCCGCTGGCGGCGCAGCTGCTGCCGGCGCCGCTGGCGGCGCAGCCGCCGCGGCCGCCGGCGCCGCCGCGCGCGCGGGCTGCTGCCGCGCGGCTGCGCGGGGCGCGCCGGCGCCGCCCCGCCCCGCCACGCAGCTGCAGGCGCTGGCGCTGCTGATGCTGCCGATGGTGCCAGCGCCGCTGCTACCGCGGCTGGCGCTGCGACCGCGGTTGCTGCCGGCGCCGCCGTTGCCGCCGACGCTGCGGCGAGCGCGGGCGGCCTGCGCCGCGGACGAGGCCGCGCCAGAGGCGCCGCCGGGGCGCGCCGCCGCTGGCTCTGCAGGCGCCGCCAGCGCTGCGGCTGGCGCGCCCAAACATAGGACGTCGTGGGCGGCTTCCGACAGATTCGGGACTTGGGACAGCAGCGACGGCCACGAGCTTCGGCTGCCGCGCGAGCCTGCGCCCCCCGCAGGGACCGGCCACGCTGGCCAAATATGGGCTGCCGTCTCGTTCGCTGACGCGCCCAGAAAGATGCTGATATCATGGTCCAAGATGAGCTCGAGGCCCCGCAGGCCCCAGTGGAACTTCGCGGCCCGCCCGACCCCGTTGAACACCGAACGACCCCTCTGTCTCTCTCTCTTTCTCTCTCTCTCTCTCTCTATCCCTCTCTCTCTCTCTCTCTCTATCCCTCTTCTCTCTCTCTCTCTCTCTCTCTCTCTCTCTCTCTCTCTCTCTCTCCTCCCTCTCTCTCTCTCTCACTCTCTCTCTCTCTCCTCATCTCTCTCTCACTCTCTCTCTCTCTCTCTCTCTTTCATTATTTATATGCCTCTGTATTTATCTCTTGTTTGTTTATCTCTCTCTCTCTCTCTCTCTCTCTCTCTCTCTCTCTCTCTCTCCTCTCTCGCTACCTTGCGATGCCCCGCTTCAAGGACTCACGGGCGCGAGCGAGCCAGCGCCGCAACCTGGGAGATGCGCGCGACGTTGTTCCTGGGGCGCCCCGGCAAAGTCGCGGACTATCTGCAGTGACCCCCTGGCATCTACCACTGATCTCTTGCCCTTTCCAAAGGCGCCCAAACTGGCGCCATCCTGTTGCAGGCGCCTTGAAGCGTTGACACGGGCGCCCGCAACCCGCTCGCGCTTGCCATTCATTCTGGCCGCGCCCCCCCCCCCAGGCACTCCATTCCCGCCTAGTGCGCGGGCGGGGCGCAACGCCCCCCATTGAACGCGCCGCCGGCCCGCCGCGCTGCCGCGATGTCGCCCGCGAGGGCCCCCCGCGCCACGGCGCTCCTGCGCGGAGCCCCAGACGACCTGGGCGCGCGCGCTCGGGCACAGCTGCCCGCCCGCGCGCGCTCTCGAGTCTCGAGCCGAGATGGCGACGGTGAAGTAAATTGCCGGGGCCGCGGGCGGCCGGGGGGCGCTGCGAGCGTTGCCCGTGCATTTTGCGACGGGGCGTTCTTTCCCTTTGGGGGAAAGGGTCGAGCTGCCTTCTCCGTTCAAACGCCCTGGACTTATTCGCGCCGGCATGGGCCCAGGGATCGTCGCGACGCTCTCCGGGGTGGCCCCCGGCTTTACTCCTTTCGGCCGCAGCAGGCGTCAGAACTCAAAATGAGGCGCGGGCCCGCGCGGGACTCGGGGCCGACCCCCGAAGTTCGGCCGGATACGCGACTGCCCAGAAGAAGCGCGGTCCGAACAATGATCGGGTAGACCCGCGCCGTCCGGCGCGCCCGAGCGGTTCGAGCTCGCGCGAGGCACGTGAGAAACGGCTGCGCTGAAGCGCGGGGTCCAAGGGCGGCTCGAGGGCGGGCCGCGACGGCCGCCGCGCAACATGCTGCTGCCTCAGCCGCAGACTCGCCCCAGCCGAACATCCACCGCAACCATCTCCACGACTGGCCGGGCGGCGGAATCGAGCGGGGGCCTCGGGGCAAACGCGATTTCATGATTTATTCCCACTGCTCGACCGCGGCAGCTGCTGCGGCTCGGGAACCTCCCAAAAATGGCGCGCGCGCCGGCCTCGGGGCCCGCGCTGCAGCTTCGGCTGGGCGCGGTTTCCGGACAGATGCGTGGCCGCAACAATGAACGGGGAGACCCGCGCCGGAGGGCGCGCCCAAGCGGTTCGAGCTCGCCGCCCACGTCAGGCACCGCGAGGCCAATGATTTCCTCGCGCAAGCCCCCGGCCCCTTGCTCGGGCCCGCGCGTCGGCGGTGGGCCGCCAGGGGGGGGTGGGGGGCGCGCGGGCATTAGTTCTGCGTCTTCGGGGATCCAGGAGGGCGCGGAACCCTTCAGCTCCTCGCCCGCGTCTGACTCTGGCGTCTTAGCTGCAGTCAACATCGGCGGAACGCCTCGCGATGACCATCAGCGAAGCACTTCTTCTCTGGGCCCCAGCTGGAGCAGCGCGCTCGCACGCGAGCAAGACAGGCGTTGACGCGGCCCTGGAGGGCGGCGCGGGCACTGCGCTGAAACCCCCATCGCCGCCGCGGCGGCGGCTTCGCCCCGAGTGCAAATCCTTGCCGCGCGCCGCGAGCCCTGGGGGCCGCGCGCCATAACTTTGGCCGGGCTCCCCGACTGCGACAACTCGAGAGCGGCGCCGCCCATGCGCAGGCCGCGGGGGGCAAGGCGCGAGCTCGCCACGCACGCGCCCGCGGCAAGCATGGAAAAGCCGATGGAAGGCGCGAGAGGGGCGGGGCCAGAGACGGAAAGAGCCGCCACTCCTGAATTCGCAGTGCGCGATGGCCTCACATAAAGATCGCCCCGCCAAGGGCAACGTCCACTTTCGCGCCTTTCTGACGGGGGGTACGAGTCCAGGGAAGCGATGCTACGCCTTGGCCGTCGGGCCCAAGCTGGGCGTCAGCACGAGTCAGCCCGAGAGCTTCAACGGCCCGGAGGCAGAGGTGGAAGGCAGCCACGGTCGTGGCGGCAGAAGCGACCCCCCCCTGGCGATCGCCCACCCTGTGAGGGCCGCGCAAGTCTGCGCCGGCATTGGCAGCCGCGCGGCCGGGCGCCGCCGGGCGGCCCAGGCTGCCCAGGGCAGACAGCCAGGCGCTCGGAAACTGGCGCCTCGTCCCTGGCAGATGCTGCGCGCCGCCGAGGGCGTCGCTGGCCTGCTCCTCAATGGCGCCTTCAGCCCACAGGCGATTTAGCAAATGATGAATGGATATTCACTTTGACTGTCTTGAAGCTGCCCCACCCCCCCACCCGCAACTTGGTCGCAAGAAGTCTCCGGGCCACGACGGGGGATACCAAATGGCACTGGGCGACGACAGCGACGCCGACGACGACGACAGCGGCAGCGACAACGACGAAATCCACGTCGTTCCGAGTCGCAGGCAGCGGCAGGTTAAAGCTTAAAGGTGGCACAGCAGTCGACAGACTGCTGGGCTGCTCGAGGGTGCCTCTTCCAGCGTCTTGGCGCCGATTCATCAAACGTCGCTCAACCTTCCCGGGCCCGCTCTGGCGGCGCGCCGGGCGGATGGGTCTGACCCTCCACCTGCCCTCCAGGCGGGGCGGGGTGCCAGCGGGGTTCTGGGCCGACGACGCGAAGCCGAGGACCGCCCGCGCGCTCGTCGCCGGCTCCCACGAAGAAAAGCTGCGCACCACCTTATGTAGCTGCCCGCCGCTGGAGCGGCGCTTCGACAATGCGCCGTCGTCGGCCGCGCTGTCGAAGAGGCGCGGGAAGTTGCGCCCGCGGCGGCCGACCGACCGCGCGCGCCAACGAATCATCATCAGCGCACCCTGGCACTCCAGACCTCTCTGGCGAGCTGCTTTGCCTTGCGTCGCTGCCACATTCCTGCGTCGATTTTCTGCCAAGGGGACTTATTGTCTGTGTCTCAGCATTGCCATCCGTTCTGAAGTCCGCGCCGTTGCGGTGGCAGGCTGCTGTCAAGCCCGTCGCGATCCCGCGCGAGACGTCGTGGCTCAGACGCCCCGCCGCGTCGCTCTCCGCCAGCTCCGCCAGCGGCGCATCGGCGCGGCGGGCAGCGGCTCTCGAGCTGGACGCCGTGGCTCTTCCAGCGCGGCCAGCAGCTGCCGGCAAGGCGGCCGCGTCGTCACGCGGGCTGCCCGGGCGCGCAGCAAAAGAGCTGTCCAAGCGCGACGGGGCCAGCTGCCAGCGGCGAGAGCCCCGCCCTGCCCCGCGTAGATGAGGCCACCTGGTGTACTCATGGGGTCTTCTGGATTACTTTGCAAGATGGACCTTTTTTTCTTGGACAGTCCCGTCTACTACGCGCGCGAGGTCCCGCTTACTTTCGGGATGGTATTTCCCGGAATGGGCGCAGGCCCAGGGTTCTCATTTGCTACATAATTCCCCCCGGGGCCGACTTCTGTAGTGCCGGCGAACTTCCGCCCGATAGAAAAAACTAAGTGAAATCCAATTCGGCAGCCAAAAAACCTTTCGCGCGTGCCCGCTCTACGGAAGTCGACCCTCGCCTCGGATCCCCGATAGATAACAGGGTCCGCGGACCCCCGTTTTCCTTTATTCAAAAATGAAATCGAATACGGCGCGGAAAATGCGTTTCGCGCGTGCCTGCTCGAGGAAGAAAAGTGGACACCCCATCTCGGGTCCTCGATAAATAACGGGGTCCGCGGACCCTCGTTTTCCCCAATCCGCCGGCCCCCTTGTGAGGCCACCAGGCTGCAGGGCTAAGGTTCGCAGTTTCCTGTGCCAGTTGCAGCTTCCAGTTTCCACTGTTACACTTCTGCTTGCTGCTGCTTACTGTTCCTTGTTGACTTCTTGTTGCTTGCTGTTCCTTGTTGGTGGACCGCGCGAGGGGGGCCCAAACGGGCTTTTTTACCACGCCCAAAGTATTGTCTGAATTGCTGGGGTGGGTAAAGATTGACACCACTCACGCAGATCGGCGGGGCCAGGGTCCAAAAACACAAAGGATTTGTTACATTTCTGAAAGTCGGTGACACCCCTCATGCAGATCGGCGGGGTCAGGGTCGAAACATGATGGACCCACGAAACCGGAAAGGGATATAGACATGTGGAGCATGGACACGTTTTCATGATACCCAACTGGGCAACACCTCACGAAACATCCCACGAGACACTTAACGAAACATCCCACGAGACACCTCACGAAACATTCCACGAGACACCTCACGAAACATACCACGAGACACCCCGCGAAACATTCCACGAGACACCCCACGAAACATTCCACGACGACAGGCAACCACTCAACCAAGGCGGTGTGGTCGTGCTGGGGAGTGGTCGTGCTGGGGTGTGGTCGTGCTGGGGGGTGGTCGTGCTGTGGTCGTGCTGGGGGGTGTCGTGCGTGTCGTGCTGGGTGGTCGTGCTGGGGGGGGGTCGTGCTGGGGGTGGTCGTGCTGGGGCGTGGTCGTGCTGGTCGTGCGTGGTCGTGCTGGGGCGTGGTCGTGCTGGGGTGTGGTCGTGCTGTGGTGAGGTCGTGCTGGGGTGTGGTCGTGCTGGGGTGTGGTCTTGCTGGGGTGTGGTCGTGCTGGGGTGTGGTCGTGCTGGGGTGTGGTCGTGCTGGGGTGTGGTCGTGCTGTGGTCGTGCTGGTCGTGCTGTGGTCGTGCTGGGGCGTGGTCGTGCTGGGGGGGTCGTGCTGGGGTGGGTCGTGCTGGGGTGGTCGTGCTGGGGTGGGGTCGTGCTGGGGTGTGGTCGTGCTGGGGTGTGGTCGTGCTGGGGTGTGGTCGTGCTGGGGTGGTCGTGCTGTCGGGTCGTGCTGGGGTGTGGTCGTGCTGGGGTGTGGTCGTGCTGGGGTGTGGTCGTGCTGGGGTGTGGTCGTGCTGGGGCGTGGTCGTGCTGGGCGTGGTCGTGCTGGGGCGTGGTCGTGCTGGGGTGTGGTCATGCTGGGGGTGTGGTCGTGCTGAGGTGTCCCGCACCCTGTGATTTATCGATCGGGATTTCAAAAACAAGCGTTTCGCCTGAGACATCCTCAAATTTTAATCCGCCGGCCTCCTTCGACCTCGATATTTATCAGGGAAAGAATCCGCCGGCCTCCTTCAAGTTGGGCACGGGGGACTATGTTTACATACTAAAAGAGAACCCTGGGCCTGAGCCCTTTCCGGGAACATGATGGACCCACGAACCCGGAAAGGGATATAGACATGTGGAGCATGGACACGTTTTCATGATACCCAACTGGGCAACACCTCACGAAACATCCCACGAGACACCTCACGAAACAGCCCACGAGACACCTCACGAAACATTCCACGAGACACCTCACGAAACATTTCACGAGACACCCCGCGAAACACTCCACGAGACACCCCACGAAACATTCCACGACGACAGGCAACCACTCAACCAAGGCGGTGTGGTCGTGCTGGGGAGTGGTCGTGCTGGGGTGTGGTCGTGCTGGGGGGTGGTCGTGCTGGGGGGTGGTCGTGCTGGGGGGGTGTGTGGGGGGTGGTCGTGCTGGGGGGGTGTGTGGCGTGGTCGTGCTGGGGCGTGGTCGTGCTGGGGCGTGGTCGTGCTGGGGCTTGGTCGTGCTGGGGTGTGGTCGTGCTGTGGTGAGGTCGTGCTGGGGTGTGGTCGTGCTGGGGTGTGGTCGTGCTGGGGTTGGGTCGTGCTGGGGTGTGGTCGTGCTGGGGGGGTCGTGCTGGGGGTGTCGTGCTGGGGGGGTAGTGCTGGGGTTGTGGTCGTGCTGGGGTGTGGTCGTGCTAGGGTGGGGTCGTGCTGGGGTGGTGGTCGTGCTGGGGTGGTCCGCACCCTGTGATTTATGGTCGTGCTGGGGTGTGGTCGTGCTGGGGTGTGATCGTGGTCGTGCTGGGGTGTGGTCGTGCTGGGGTGTGGTCGTGCTGGGGTGTGGTCGTGCTGCTGGTCGTGCTGTGGTCGTGCTGGGTGCTGGGGTGTGATCGTGCTGGGGTGTGTGTGGTCGTGCTGGGGTGTGGTCAGCGCCGGGGCGTGGTCGTGATGGGGGTGTTCTGCTGGGGGGTGGCTCGGGCTCGTGTCTCGGGGGTGGTCGTGTGGCGGGTGCGTCAGTGAGGGGGTGGTCGTGCTGGGCGTGTCGTGTGGGCGTGGTCCCGTGCATTGGGCGGGTCGTGCTGGGGTGTGGTCGTGCTGTGGTGAGGTCGTGCTGGGGTGTGGTCGTGCTGGGGTGTGGTCTTGATGGGGTAGGGTCGTGCTGGGGTCGGGTCGTGCTGGGGTGTGGTCGTGCTGGGGTATGGTCGTGCTGGGGTGGGGTCGTGCTGGGGTGGGGTCGTGCTGGGGTCTGGTCGTGCTGGGGTGTGGTCGTGCTTGGGTATGGTCGTGCTAGGGTGGGGTCGTGCATTTCGCTCGAGACATCCTGCCAAAATTCCAGGAAATCGTACAAAAACAAACGAATTAGTCGAGACATCATCGAAATTCCTTCGCGCGGGGCGCTGTTCCGCGTCGCGGTCGGCTCTGCAAAACAAGCGTTTCGCTCGAGACATCCTCGGCAAACTCTGCGGAGCAAGCGTTTCGCTCGAGACATCCTCAACACACGAAAAAGTGGCCCGCACCCTGTGATTTATCGATCGGGATTTCAAAAACAAGCGTTTCGCTCGAGACATCCTCAAATTTTAATTCGCCGGCCTCCTTCGACCTCGTTTTTTATCAGGGAAAAAATTCGCCGGCCTCCCTCAAGTTGGCACCGGGGGACAGGTTTACCTACTAAAAGAGAACCCTGGGCTCAGGCCCTTTCCGGGAACATGATGGACCCACGAACCCGGAAAGGGATATAGACATGTGGAGCATGGACACGTTTTCATGATACCCAACTGGGCAACACCTCACGAAACATCCCACGAGACACCTCACGAAACATCCCACGAGACACCTCACGAAACATTCCGCGAGACACCTCACGAAACATTCCACGAGACACCCCTCGAAACATTCCACGAGACACCCACGAAACATTCCACGACGACAGGCAACCACTCAACCAAGGCGGTGTGGTCGTGCTG